CCCCAAAACCCCAAAACCCCAAAACCCCTCATTTCCAAATTATCACAATAAAATTAATGATAATAAATAATAGTTATTATTTTTAAGATGATTTCAAAACTTTTATATACAAGAGCATCTCTCTAGATAGCAAGGCCACTTTAGCATGTAGTTTATATGCCAGCTCAAATTCAATATAGACAGTAAGTTACCTTTACTTAACCCAACTCATTTGCTGACTCTTTTAATTTAGATTTGGTATTTTCGATAAAATCTTTAAAAAGAAGGAGCCTGAAGTATAGATTAAGATCGAAGAGCCTCCTAAAAAGATCACTCTTAAAGAGCAATTGCAAGATGAAAAGGAGAGACAGATTGAATCGGAATTGAGAAAACAGGCCGAGGAGGAGGTTTAAAGAAAGTAATTGGAGAGTTTTACTGTTTAAAAGCAAGTTGATGAACGTGATTAAGTCATTCTGAATCTTGAAAATATGCAATAGTCATCAAACACTACTGCAACTTAAACCTCTAAGACACAAGAGACCCCTTAGAGAAGCATTGAACTTGATAATAGAAAATATAAGAAACTGCTCAATAGAGTAAAATCCATTTAGGATGCTTATTATCAAGCCAAAGTCAACGCTGACGGCACAGTCTCACACTTAATTGTTAAAAATATTGATGGCTCTCCCAAGACATTCAAGGATGTAGCTGCTTTTCATAAGTGGGTAAAAACCTCGTTAAAGGAAAGAGCTCACAAACTACAGACAAAACTTACACCTTACTAATACTACATCACTCAAAACCAAGGCACTGAAAGACCATTTACCAGTGAGTACTGGTGGACAAAGGATGCAGGCGTTTATTCTTGTGTAGTTTGCAGTTAGAAGCTATTTATGTAAGCTTATTACAATAAATACATGTTATTTGTAGGTCTGATCACAAATATGAGGTACCTACTGGCCATGCTACATTCTGGAATCATATCATTGATTCAGTTGAATACTTAGAGGACAATCTGAAAGTTCCCAAGGTGACAAACGCCTTTGTTGATACCTTATATAAGAATAAAATACCAATTAAGAGATGTGTCTGTTCAATGGTAAGCATTATAATAATTATATTATAAACTTTAGTGCGAGGCTCATCTAGGCCATATCTACAACGATGGTGTAGCTCCATACTTCAAGCGATTCTCGATTAACTCAGCATCCGTTATATTTACACCAAAGCCCTGGGCTAAATAGCCAACATAAACAAATGAAGAAAAATTGGCAATGAGACGTCGAGTTGCGTAGACTAAATACGGTCTGTCAGAATTTAACTCAGTTATCGAACACGCCAAACTTCTTGGCATCTAGTCATATCTAGAAAAGACGAGACCCGTTGATTTGAGAAATAAATCAATGGAGGCTTAATCAGAGGAAAAGAGAGCAGAGAAAAAAGATAGAGCTCTCAGATATGCCAGCAGAGTAGCAAGCAATGAGAAAAAAGAGCCAAAGGTAAAGAGAGAGAAGTCTCCTTCATCTGCCAATAAAAACCAACCCCAGTCATCGCCTACATCATCCTAATCTGATAGACCCAGATTCAACTTAAAAGGCGCTGCTAGTGTCAGCTATTCCAAGAAGAGCAATGCGAGCGTAAATAAGACAGAAGACAAAGGGAGTGTATGAGCAAAATAAATATGATGATGGTCTTAAGATTACATCTTCTTTTACTCTGTTGATGATCCTATTTAATTCATAATTTTACTTTTCAGACATATGTATTATTAAAGTTAACATCGTCAATTATTAAAGAAGAGTGATAAGTGAAAATAAATCTCAGAATATCTAATTCATCACATCATAAAAATGCCATTCCTTCACTCAGTTCATTTTGTGACTTCTAACTTTCTGTAAATGCACAGGTAAGCAGTGTGCCAGTCACCACCGCCTCTTAGAGCCAAAATTTCATCAGTCTTTACAGTGCTCACTAGGTCATCATCATACTGAAGCCAGTCATCTCCTGATTAATGAACCCATCCGACGTAATGCCCACCATCAGCTGATCTGCCTTTATGTGTGACAACAGCAATCAGTTGATAGTGACCAGTATCAAGTCCAATGCCATGTGGTCTGTAGAGCATAGCATCTGAGACTTTAATCTCCTCCTCTTATTGAGCCTTCTTTTTGTTAATAACCAATTTCTTTTCCTCTTCTTTGTCCTTGCCATCATCCTGCTTGGATTCATCAGCCATCTCTACATCTTTGCCTTGTAGTCTGCGGTTATCTTCCTCTTCTCTGAGCTTACGTTCGAATTCTCTACCCAAGTCAAGAGACTTTCTTAGCTCATCAGTACAGAAATCGTAAAGATCGAATACTTTGGGGAAAGTAACATTCTAAAAATTTATTGCTAGTATTTCTATACTTACTCTCAGAATCTTAGCCTTGCCTGCTTTGGTACCCTGAAGTGTGCTTTCCTTTTTCCAATAGAATCTCACAAATTAAATTGTTAAGTATGATGGCTAGATTAATGGTTAAGTTACCAATATATCTTACAAGTTTATTGATCTTTGACTCTTTGTGATAAACTGCGTTTCTCTGAAGTGTGTCTGAGAATTTCTCCATGTCTCCGCACAAACTAATCTTAAGTCCCTCAGCCAAATGGTTGATTGGGTTGTTATTGTTGTCAATGTGGCAACTCAATCTAAGTTGAGTCTCTTTGGTATGCTGAGGTGGTTCATCTTTGTTCTCAGAGTTAGTGACTGTATTTTCAAGTTCGATTCCGAATAGCTTTTCGACTAAATCTCCACCTTCTTCCTCAGACAGCTTTAATGAATTCTTGAAGGCAGTCAAAAGATTTGAGTAGCACTCTTCAGCATCCTACTGCTTATGATGACCGTGATCATCTACCTCATCGAACTGGGGGAATACCATTCTCATTGCTTGAACGAAGTTCATTGGAGCAAAGGGCTCTCCTTTGAAGTCCAAGTCTGTAAATAGTTTTTTGGCAGCCATTGCCATAACCTTGTTCTAGTCATAACCTGGTTAATTATCTTGATAGTTCTTAAGTGCATCCTTTAACTCATTTACTCTCTTTAAGCATTGAACAGTTGAATTCATATAGCAAGTGTTACCAAGATTCTCAAGACCTGCCGGTAAAGTAACTCCTAGTTTCTCATGAAGAATCTTTGCTCTCTCCTCGGGTGTCATATCTTCTACGAATTTCTATACCACTTCTGGCTTCTTGAGTTCGCCTCCCTCAGGTGTGCCCATCATCATCAGAGTGGTGCCTGCTGTGATACCCATACTCGGCAAGTCAGAATCATCCTATATTCATAATCATTAACATCCATGCATAATCATAAAGTTAGAAAGAATGCTCATAACACTCCAATTGACTCAATTTATTACCTTGAGGATCTTTCCCTTGAACATAATCTTTTACTTGTCGACTGGCACATTAGTCATTGCATATATCTAGGTCTTGAAAGTAAGCACATCTTAGTTTGTGTCAAGCTCGATGTCATTAAGCTAAGTCTTGTTCCACTTAATGTTAACTAGAGAGCAGTGATTAAAAATTTGGTTAATAAGAAGAGAATATAGCTGCTAGAGCAAGCAAAAGTTAGTTAAGTTTTGCAGACTTACCTAAAATACTCATCTTTAATTTGAAATTTTAAAATTATTAACAAGATTTGATTTAGTCACGCTGTAGAATTCATTAGTTTCAGACTGGGACAGTTTTGGGGTTTTGGGG